ATTGAAGGAGAAAGGTTAGCAACAGGCTGCTGGAGAACCAGCTAAAGGGCTGACTGCTTCTTCCATAGGACGCCTGTCAAATTTGGTGCCAAGTTTTACCTGGAATTAAGACCCTAAAGTCAGAGATTTTGCCCAACCCACCAGAAGCCAGTTGCTCTTGCTCTTGACAGCACCATGGAGGAAGTCATATTTGCTGCTGGAAAATCATCCAAGATCACAGAGGAGCAAAGCAAAAGGTAAGTAGCTTCTTGGGGAGCAGGGTATGGATGACATCCCCCGTGTATTACGTCCAGTCCCTTGACTGGGCCACTGATTGCACTCAGTCAAGAAACCCCCAGAACCACCAGCTGACTAGTGGTCACAAGGGTTAGCCCATCAAACACGCCACTTGGCAATAGGGCTGCTTGGTTCTTAATTAGCCACTTCAGGGACTTGTTTGGTTAGGTAAGGATGGCCATCAACATTCCTACCCCCAGCATTAATCCTGGTAGAGGTAAGAAGGCAAGCATGGTTTTGGCACACCACCTCATAATTACGTACCGTTGTCTCCCCAAGGCTCACCATGTCCACTATTTCAGTTCTTTAACAAGGTTTCCTCGTCTTCTCGTTCTGATGAAAGAAATGTCTACATCTGTAATCCTAAATACTCTATTTCTGATGCCAATTGACCTGCTGCATATTTTCAGCATTTTTATTTACTTGAAGACTAGAATACAGAAATGTTATGGAATTAACTTCACTCTGGCAAATCATTGCTGATGTTACAAAGCCAAGAGGGAATACCAGCTGTGAGGGCATGAAAAGGCTATGGGTGATAGATATAAGTTAAGTCAGTAGGCAACAATGTGGCAAATGAAGTATAATTTGGATGAAGTGTGAGATTACTTGGTAGTAGGAATAGAAAATGAGAATATTTCTTAAAAGTAGGAAGCCTACAAATGGTGACAGTTAGAAGCTTAGATGTAACAAGGAACACAGGGAAATAGCATACAGGTACGAACGTTAAAGGTAGTATCAAATCAGAAGAAAAAATACAATTCAGCAAAGTTGAATTGCTGGTCAGATGATTGGGGGAATATAAGAAACACAAAAAGTGACTAAAAGGCTAATGAGGAGGGAGAAATTAGGATGTGAGAGAAATATAGCTAGAAACAACTTGATAGAAGCAGGGAGGATGTTTCCACTGACAGGTGAAACAAGAACAAGAGGGCATAACCTCAAAATCAGGGCGAGCAGATTTAGGACTGAATTGAGGAGGAACTTCTTCACCCAAAAGATTGTGAATCTGTGGCATTGCCTGTCCAGTGAAGCAGTTGAGACTTCGTCGTTGAATGTTTTTAAAGCTAAGACAGATAATTTTTTGAACAAAGTAAAGGAATTAAGGGTTAGGGTGAGAGGGTGGGTAAGTAGAGCTCAGGCCATGAAGAGATCAACCATGATCTTATGGAATGGCACAGCAGGCTCAAAAGGTCCAGGTGGCCTACTCCTGGTTCTTATGTTAGATATATAAAATAGCTAGAAACCTAGCTAGAAATATGAAAACAGATTGCAAGAGTTTCTACAGGCATTTATAAAGGTAAAAGCTGTGTGTACCAGATCAAGTGTTGGCAGCCTGAAGCTGCCCTGCTCAGTTTGTGACATTTGTCCTAGACATTGTAATAAAGGGGAAAGTGGCACACCACTTTGCAGACAGGATGGTGCACAGGAGGGCCATCTACTTCCCACAGAACCTGCAGAGGAAGTCACCTGCCAGCCTGGTCTGAGATTGCCACCTGGATCAGTGCATTTTGAACCATCCAAAGGAACCTGCACCAGTGCCGCAATAAGGTCAATGATCTTTTCCATTCCATCAGGGTAGGCATCACAATCTTCTCTCTATACCTCACATTCACTCTACCTCTGTGCCTGCACCCACCTCCTTTCAGGCTCATGTCCTACCACTTTCCACTATCACATGAAACAGCTTCTCTCACTCACTGTCATCCACCCAAATACTAACCCTGCACAGTTGCCACATATCCTACTCCTCACTGGAGACACTTTTCCCACTACCTGCACTTGCACTAACAACTATGCCACTCACTTTCATCCTACTCCATCCCTCTCTTTGTCTCATTCCAGGAGAAAATGGCCCACAGTAGGGCAGAAAGAGCTAGGACAGGTGGTGGGTTGCCCAACATTTGGCTGCTTACCCCTACAGGGAAAAGACACTGATCATTACTGCCCTGAGCAAGTGACTGACCATGCCCACATTCCTTGACAGATATTAGAAAGAAAAAACTCTTGTCTGACTGTATGGGAACACTCTGACTGAGAGCAGCACTTCAAGACTTGACTGAGGTCTACTCCCTGTTGACTTTGAGACATGGCCATTTGGTTGTTAGCGTGACAATGAGATGTGATTGTGAAATATAGCAATCTTTTCATGCCTTTGAACAACCATGAGAAGCTGCCTGGCTTTCTGTCAGGTAATACAGAAATATTGTGAGTCCTTAAGGTCTGGTTCAGGGGGCAAGGTGTAAAAAGAGAAGGCAATGCAATGAAGGGATACTGTACGCATCCAGGTTGGTATAAAGTGAGGGTGCACTAAGATAGTGTGTGAGCAGGCTGTGATGCAGCCTGATCCAGTTTATGAACTGTGTAAAAAAAGCCGAAAGAACTGTGGATGCTGTAAATCAGGAACAAAAACAGAAGTTGCTGGAAAAGGTCAGCAGGTCTGGCATCATCTGTGAAGAAAAAAAATCAGAGTTAACATCTCGGGTCCAGTGACCCTTCCTCAGAACTGATGGTAAGTGAGAAAATGTCAGTTTATATGCAGAAGATAGGGTGGGGGGTGCGCGGAGGGAGCGGTAAGGAGTAAACAATAGATGGGGTAGAGCCCAAAGAGAGAGAGAACAGCTGGGAAGACAAAGGAGTGGATAACAATCTGGCTAGGAGGGTGAATAGCTGTTAATGGGGACTGTTAGTGACTAACAATAGGTAGGAAGAATCGTGTCTCAATGCCTGGGTTTAATTAGAAAATGTGACATTTTGGTTTTGATGCCAAGATGGAACATGTTTCTCATCTCACTTAATTTTCCCAAAATTTCTCACCATTACCCACAGCATTCAGGGGTTGAGAAGCTTCAACCCATTGTTACTAAGACCACTGAGAGACCTGTAGATACAAGTCTTCACCCTACAAGATCCAGAGATATTCTGCTTTTCTCCAACCAAGCGGTTATGATATCATCAGATTGAGTGGAGTTTAATGCAATCTCCAACATTAACTCTTTCAGGACCATTACCTTATATGACAAGGGACACAGTTTACAGTTAAGGTGTTGTCCATTTAAGATGTGATGAGGAGAATATCTCAGAGAGTTTTGAATCTTTGGAACCACCTTCCTTAGAAAGCTGCACAGGCAAGCTCATTGAATATACTTAGACAGATAAAATTCTTGACTGACAAGAGGAGAGTCAAACGGGATCAAAAAATCATCTCACTGATTTTGTTTAGTGAGCCCTCAATCTAGATTGTACTGCAGAGAAAACACCCCCTCCATATTACCCTTTCAGGATCTTATATGCTTCAAGCAAACATACAAAATAGGAACAGAAGTTCACCAACTGACCTCTTAAACCTGCTTTGCATTTCAACAAAATCACAGCCAATCAATTTGTGTTTTGAATTCCACATTCCCATCTACCGCCAACAACCTTTGATTTCCTAACAAGAATCCACCCACCTCTTCCTTAAAGATATCCAATGACCTTCCTCCACCATCTTCTGAGGCAGACAGATCCAACGTCACACAACCCTTAGAAAAACCTCATCTCAGTCTGGAAAGGGCAACCCTAAATTTTATAACAGTGACCCCTGCTTGTGGACTGGGGTGGGGGAGGGGCAGGGTGGGGGGAAGAGTCGAAAACTAGACAGCATAGGTTTAAGGTGACAGGGGAAAGAATTAAAAGGAACCTAAGGGGCAATTTTTTCACACAGAGGGCGGTACATGTACGGAATGAGCTGCCAGAAGTAGTGGTGGAGGCTGGTACAATTACAAGCATTTAAAAGGCATCTGGATGGGTATAGGAGTAGGAAGGGTTTAGAGGGATATGGGCCAAATGCTGGCAAATGGGACTAGAATTATTTAGCATACCTCGACAGCATGGACGAGTTGGACTGAAGGGTCTGTTTCTGTGCTGTATATCTCTATGACTCACAAGAGAAAATATACTTTCCATCTACCTTGTCAAGATAATGCAGTTTTGGTCTCTACATTCAAATAAGATCCACTTGCACTTGAGGCCATATAGTAAACATTCACTAGATTATTTTTTGGGATGAGAGGACTGTCCTGGATGAGGGTGAATTAATTGAGCCTACATTGTCTAGAATTGAAAATAATAAGTTAGGATATGATTGAAACATACAAAATTCTGAGGGGAAAGGGATGTATTTGCATTGGAAGCAGTTCAGAGAAGATTCACTAGATTAATTCCTGAGATGAAAGGTTTGTCTTACGAGAAGAGATTGATCACTTTAGGCTGATAGAATTTAGAAGAATGAGTGGAAATCTAATTGAGGTACATAAGATGCTAAAGGGAATTGACAAAGTAGACATGGTGTGAATGTTTCCCCTTGTGGGCAATCTGGAACAAGAGGTCATAGTTTTAGGCTAAGGGATGGCAGATTTAAAATTAACAAATTACTTCTCTCAAAGGGTCATGAATCTGTGGAATTTGCTACCTCAGAGTGGGGTGGACACTGAGAAACTGAATAAATTCAAGGAAAAGGTAGACATATTTTTAGTTAGTAATGGTTTAAACGTTGTAGACAATGGGCAAGAAAATGGAGTGGAGACTGACACGACATCAGCCATGATTGTATTAAGTGCCACAGCAGGCTCAAGAGGCTGAATTGCCTACTCCTGCTCCTGCTCCTAGTTCTTACACTTACAGATGTAGGGCCACATGGAACTGTTTCTGTTCAGGCTAAAGCGTCATTTAGTGAGACGAGCATGTTTGAAAACTATGTTTAATGGTAAACAGTTTACACCAGTAAAGTGTACATCAATGCTTTTTAATTTCATGCTTTTCTTTAAAAAAAGATCTCTAAAAGCAAAAGGCACATCAATATAAGCAAAAAAAAACAATGATGCATGCTTTTTGCAGTTAATTTAAGTCCATTCATTTTTCTGGCTGATTCTGCTTCAGCTTGTAGTGAACTTCTGGTAAATTTCTCAAGCGTTCAGCAGCCTGCAGGTTAAAACATGATCTAGTTACAGCAAGTAATAACTGAACTGACACAACAGATTAATTAAAATGCAAGGTATGGATGGACAGGACTTTATGAACATAATGGTCCTGTAAAATCTTTCTGCCACGTCCAGTGACATATATCATGTGCAGATTGAGTTCAGGTAAATAACTAATGAATCTAATGTGGTAATGTTTTCAAATCTATGCCTGAAATGCTTAGCTTTTCGTCTATCCAGGTGGATACTCTATATCTCGGGATATATGGCAGAAGCTGAAGGCTGCACAAATGATGGTATCTGTTTTAACACTTCCTGACTGTAAAAATTGAAGTGGAGAGCAGTATGATACACAAATATGTCATTTCAAGACTAGTTCTTTTGACTCCACTGCCCATCTTAGTTCGGTGCCACCTAAAAATTTGATTGCCAAGCACGAGTTTTGAGTCCAAATCTTTGATGAAAATTAGAAAGGGCAGTGGTCCCAGCATTATTTTTTTAAGATTGCACTTTAATTGTCCCATTCTTATTACAATTCCTGTAACACATAATTGTAGTTTTTGCCTCGTCTGTCAATTTGTTATCAGTACCCAAGATTTACCCAGATTTACGTCTGGTTTATAGGTCTGTGCATGTCCATATCTATGTTTCCAACCAGTTGGTACTGTCCCGGTGTCCTTTACAATGCTGCAAGATATTTTGTCTTTCAATTCTCTGAGCATTCTGGGATAAATACAACTCCTAGATTATATTTATTTTGATTTCTTTAAATTTGTCTACGTTCTCCATCTAATTTACATCAATTTAGTTGCTCCCATTATTTATTTATGGCATGTGGACATTGCTCGCAAGGTCAGGTTCATCCTGAGTACCTTTGTTGTTGGTGAGTCACCAGCTTCAGGTCGTGTGTTGTAGATACTCCCACAGTGTCACGACACAGAAGGTTCCTACATTTGGACCCAGTGAGCATGAAGAGATGAAAACACAGTTCCAAGCAAGCTATCTTCTTCAAATTGTTACAATCCATGTGGCATGCCCAGGGTGCTGCCAGGAAAGGGTTTCCAGGATTTTGACTCAATGACAACAAAAGAACAGTGACTCATTTCTAAGTCAGTTCTAAGAACTTGCAGATGGACATGTTCTCATGCGTACTGTTGCCGTCGTCCTTTGAAGTGGTCAAGATCAGTTTTGGACAGCGCTATTGAAAGTCTTGAAAGTGGTCAAGATCAGTTTTGGACAGCGCTGTTGAAAGAGCCTTGAAAAGCTTTTGCAGTACATCTTGTAGATGGTACACACTGCTTCCACTATGTGCCAGTAGTAGAATGACTGAGTAAGGTGGCAGATGATGTTGATAAAAGTCCATTCTGTTCTGGATAGTGTCAAGCTTTTCCAATGTTTATGGAGATGCACTTCTTCAGGAAAACAGCAAGTTATTTAATCACATTCCTGCCTTGTGCCTTGGAAGTGACACAAAGTCAGGAGATATACACTGGGAAAAGGCCAGTAGATTGGAAACACGGACATGGATAGCACAGATGCATTAATCCTCCTTGAATCCAAATATAAAATAATGGAATTGATTGTCAGGAATAAACATAAACTTGGATTTGAAACTGGAAGATCCTACCCATCTTATTTCCATGTCAGCCATATCACCTTTCTTAGTACCTGCCTACGGAACCAGATCATCCCCAATGGACTACAGTCCACATTCAGGCCTTCCCAATTTGGCCCCAACCGCAACAATGTCTACATTCATAGCATTGAGATCCTTCAGAAGCGTTTCTCCCTACGATTCCTGCATCTCCGGGCACTACAATCAAGCCTACCCCAGCTCAGAGCCTCCCTCTCCCAGACCTGCAAAGGACCTCTCCTGCTTTTTATTCTTCGTAGGATCCACAACCTGAACTCACAATTCTACTCAGCTTTATTGGACACTAAAAACCGTAAGTACAGTAAACTTACTGGTGCCTGCCACCCAAAACGGGCCAACTCCACCTCCCAAATCCCCAACCCTACCCAGGACCTTCCCCACAATGTGCCCACCACCATTGGCCATGAGGCCACCGTCAGAGAACCCACAGATGATGTCACATCCGCCACCGCCGGGTACCCCACTTCCGGGACAGCGAACACCATTGCTGCTGATGCCACCGCCTCCATTTCCAAGACCAACACCACAGACACTGAAGATGCGCCTACCGTCACCGCCGCTGCCGCCGCCTACCCCGCTCTGCCCATCGCTGACGCCGCTCCGCCCATCACCGACACCAACGCAATGCCGCCCACCGCTGACGCCAACGCAACCCCGCCCACAGCCAGCAGCTCCAGAGGAGACAGCAACACCAAGCCCCGCTGAGTCTTCACCATCCCCCCAGACCTCCCCCTTACTGAGGACGAACGGTCAGTCCTCAGTAAAGGGCTCACCTTTGTCCCCCTCCACCCACACATCAACGAATACCGCTCACGCTTGGACATAGAGCAGTTTTTCCGCCGTCTCCGCCTCCACGCTTACTTCTTCAACCGTGAACCTAACCCTCCCTCTACTGACCCCTTCTCCCGCCTCCGACACACCCCCTCCTCCTGGACACCACCCCAAGGCCTCCTACCCTCCCTCGACCTCTTCATCTCCAACTGCCGTTGAGACATCAATCGCCTCAACCTCTCCACCCCTCTCACCCATTCCGACCTCTCCCCCGCAGAACGTGCAGCCCTCCGCTCCCTCCCCAACCTCACCATAAAACCAGCGGACAAGGGAGGTGCAGTTGTAGTATGGCACACTGACCTCTACATTGCCGAGGCCAGATGCCAACTCTCCAACACCTCCTCCTACCGCCCCCTTGATCATGACCCCACCCCCGAGGACCAAACGACCATCTCCCAAACCATCCACAACCTCATCACCTCAGGTGACCTCCCACCCACGGCCTCCAGCCTCATCGTTCCCCAACCTCGCACTGCCCGCTTCTATCTCCTTCCCAAAATCCACAAACCTGAATGCCCTGGTCGACCCATTGTCTCCGCCTGCTCCTGCCCCACCGAACTGATCTCCAACTATCTGGACTCCATTTTCTCCCCCTTGGTCCAGGAACTCCCTACCTATGTCCGTGACACCACCCACGCCCTCCACCTCCTCCAGAACTTCCAATTCCCCGGTCCCCAACACTTCATCTTTACCATGGACGTCCAGTCCCTCTACACCTGCATCCCCCATGCAGATGGCCTTAAGGCCCTCCGCTTCTTCCTGTCCCGCAGGCCCGACCAGTCCCCCTCCACTGATACCCTCATCCGCTCAGCCAAACTCGTCCTCACCCTCAACAACTTCTCTTTCAATTCCTCCCACTTCCTACAGACAAAGGGTACCTGCATGGGCCCAAGCTATGCCTGCCTCTTTGTAGGTTACGTGGAACAATCCCTCTTCCGTACCGACACTGACCCTAAACCCCACCTCTTCCTCCGTTACATTGATGACTGTATCGGCGCCACCTCGTGCTCCCACGAAGAGCTCGAACAGTTCATCCACTTCACCAACACCTTCCACCCCAATCTTAAGTTCACCTGGACCATCTCTAATATCTCTCTCACCTTCCTGGACCTCTCTGTCTCCATCTCGGGCAACCACCTAGAAACCGATATCCATTTCAAGCCCACTGACTTTCACAGCTACCTAGAATACACCTCCTCCCACCCACGTTCCTGCAAAAATGCCATCCCCTATTCCCAATTCCTTCGCCTCCGCCGCATCTGCTCCCAGGATGAGGCATTCCACTCCCGTACATCTCAGATGTCCTCGTTTTTCAAGGACCGCAACTTCCCCCCCTCAGTGGTCGAGAACGCCCTCGACCATATCTTCCGCATTTCCCGCAACTCATCCCTCACACCCCGTACCCGCAATAACAACCGAAAAAGAATCCCCCTCGTCCTCACGTACCGTCCCACCAACCTCCAGATCCAACAAATCATCCTCCGACACTTCCGCCATCTGCAATCCGACCCCACCACCAAAGACATTTTTCCCTCCCCACCCTTATCTGCTTTCCAGAGGGACCACTCTCTCCGTGACTCCCTTGACCGCTCCACACTCCCCTCCAGCCCCACCACACCTGGCACTTTTCCCTGCAACCGCAGGAAGTGCTACACTTGTCCCCACACCTCCTCCCTCACCCCCATCCCAGGCCCCAAGAAGACTTTCCACATCAAGTAGATGTTCACCTGCACATCTGCCAATGTGGTATACTGCATCCGCTGTACCCGTTGTGGCCTCCTCTACATCGGGGAAACCAAGCGGAGGCTTGGGGACCGCTTTGCAGAACACCTACGGTCGGTTCGCACTAAACAACTGCACCTCCCAGTCGCAAACCATTTCAACTCCCCCTCCCATTCCTCAGACGACATGTCCATCCTGGGCCTCCTGCAGTGCCACAATGATGCCACCCGAAGGTTGCAGGAACAGCAACTCGTATTCCATTTGGGAACTCTGCAGCCCAATGGTATCAATGTGGATTTCACAAGCTTCAAAATCTCCCCTCCCCCGACTGCATCCCAAAACCAGCCCAGCTTGTCCCCGCCTCCCTAACCTGTTCTTCCTCCCACCTATCCCCTTCTCCCCCCTCAAGCCGCACCCCCATCTCCTAACTACTAACCTCATCCCGCCCCCTTGACCTGTCCGTCCTCCCTGGACTGACCTATCTCCTCCCTACCTCCCTACCTACACTCACGTTTACTGGCTCCATCCCCGCCTCTTTGACCTGTCTGTTTCCTCTCCACCTATCCTCTCCTCTATCCATCTTCTATCCACCCCCCACTCTCTCCCTATTTATTTCAGAACTCCCTTCCCCTCCCCCATTTCTGATGAAGGGTCTAGGCCCAAAACGTCAGCCTTCCTGCTCCTCTGATGCTGCTTGGCCTGCTGTGTTCATCCAGCTCTACACCTTGTTATCTCAGATTCTCCAGCATCTGCAGTTCCTACTATCTCTCATTTCCATGTCTTCTCTGAGGAAGTGATAGTATGGACACAGTTCTCAAGTCTTCCCTTCTCAACACTTAGAGAAAGCAAGCACTCAAAATGTTTGCTCATAGTTCAATAAGTCAATTTGCATCTTTAATGCCTCTAGTATTTTCCCTGCCCTTTGCGTTCATTCTCACCTGTTCAGGTGTGAGATCTCTTTGAGCCTGAGCTAACAGCTCATACCCCACCATAAATTTCCTGATTGTGGCAGACCGTAACAATGGTGGATAGTAGTGAGCATGAAGCTGCCAGTGACGGTTGTCATCAAGCAAAGACTGTCCAGTGGGGGCACCTGTTGATATACAATTACATTATTAATACAGCAATAACAAGTATATCAATTGGAATGTTTCTTCAAAATTTATTCAGTGAGATGTGGGCATTGCTGCCAAGGCCAGTATTTATTGCCCAGTATTTATTGCCCATTCACAACTGTCCTGGAGAAAATGGTGATGAGCTGCCTATATGAATTGTTGCAATCCTTGGGGTGTAGCGACACCTGTAGGTGCTGTTAGGAAGAGAGATCAGGATTGCCACTCAGTGACAGTGAAGGAATAGTGATTTATTTCCAAGTCAGGGTGGTTTGCTATTTATAACCACACCCCTTAGCCTTCTAGGCGGTAGACGGCACAGGTCTGAAAGGTGCTGTTGGAAGATCCTTGGGTGAATTACTGTAATGAATCTTGTAGATGGCATTCAGTGTTGCCAATATGTGTTACTGTTGAAGGTGGTGAATGAGGCACTATTGAACTACTTTCTCCTCGATAGTGTCAAGCTTCTGGTTGTTGTTGGAGCTGCACTCATGCATGCAAATGGGAATGCTCCATCACACTCCTGATATGCACCTTATAGATGGTGGGCAGGCTTTGGGGAGTCAGGGGGTGAGTTATGCATTGCAGGATTCCTAGCCTCTGACCTGTTCTTGGAGCCACAGTATTTATATTGTTAGTCCAGTTCAGTTTCTGGCCAATGGTAACGTCCACAATGTTAACAGTGGGAGGATTCAGCAATGATAATGCCATTGAACATCAGGGAGATGGTTAAATTCTCGCCTGTTGGAGATTGTCATTGCCTGGCGTTTGAATGCCACTTGTCAGTACAAGCTTGGGTGTTGTCTATATTTGCTGTATAAGGCCACGGACTGCTTCATTATCTGAGAAGTTACAAACGGTGCTGAACATTATGCAATCATCAGTGAATATTCCCACTAGTAACCTTATGATGGAGGGAAGGTCATCAGTTACAGATCGTTGTGCTCAGGACACTATCCTAAGGAACTCTTGCAGAGATATCCTGGGGCTTAGAAGATTACTTTCCAACAACCACAACCACCTTGCTTTCTGCTAGGCATGAAACCAAACAGCACAGACCTCACCTCTCTGATGCCCACTGACTCCAGTATTGCTAGTACTCCTTGATGCCATACTCAGTCAAATGCTGCCTTGCTATTGAGGGCAGTCACTCTAATCACCTGCATCAGATTATTAAATTAACATCAAATTAATAACCGGTTTACAGAGCGGATCAATTCAGGATTGCACCGAACTACACATAATAATTTCATACCAAGCACTGGACTGCTTTTTTAGCATCAGTACCTACTGACATACTCTTAGTGGTAGAACAGTTATTTATAAATATTAATTTATATTAATATTAATTCCACTCTGATTTGGAAATATATTGGCGTTCCTTCACTGTCCCTGGGTCAAAATCCTGGAACTCCCTCTCTAATGGCATTGTAGGCCAATCCACAGCTGCTGCAGTCCACCTGTTCAAGAAGGCAGCTCACCACCACCTTCCCAAGGGCAACTAGAGACTGGCAATAAATGCTGGCCAGCTAGTGATGCTCACATCCCACAAAATATTCATCTCCAATCTAAGGAATTTACCTTTTCTGTTCCAAGTAAAAGTCATGGGATTAATTTAAAACTAGGACAGATGCACAGCAGAAAACATAAAGCAACAAACGTGTTTAGAACCGCTAAGAAGGAGCTGGGCTGTTTTTAATCATCTAACTTTCTTACATCTAAGAAGCCTGACTACAATCTGAATCTGGTGGGATTCACAGGCAGTGGTGAAAGTGGAATTTTGTCTGCTGCTGAGGACAATTATTCATGTCCCAAGTATTAAGATGTAGGGAAGTCTGTGGCAGGGGAGATTACTACTTTGCTGGGCCTCTCTGGTTTTGGATCCACATGGCAGCAGTAGGCCACACTGAATTCAACACTGAGTGAATTATGCAACCTGAAGCTAAAATCGTGGCAGAATTTCAATAAAAACAGCAGACACCCAATGGTCTGTTTTGAGTGCTTGCCCTCTTGTAGAAGCCCAAGAGTCAGGGCGACATTGAGCAAGAGTAGCTGAAAACCACCCCCATTCTCACTGGACAAGGGGTGGTACACAGGGAAAGCATCAAAGCTTTCAGTCTCTTTCTAAAAAAACTTTCAGACAATACCATTTTATCCCCAGTGGAACAGAATAGTCACAGGCCAAATCACTTGATGAACATTATAATAGATCAAGTAAATAAATACTGTTTAAACACTCAAATCCCTCTTCAGCAGTTCAGCCTAGTTTAACTGAAGTAGTTAATATATTATTTTGCCCAAGATATATCCAAGATAATAGAACCACATTTATTAACCTGAACTGTCAAGACTTTGAACTGTGCTACGGTTCTCCCCAGTATTCTGCTTCTTAGAAAAACACTTCGTATAGGGTCAGAAATGACATCGATGCCAAGCATTCCACTCTCTTAATATCTTCATATCAACCAGAAGGCAGGTCAACACTTAACTAAAATAAGTTTTAACTTCACTGAGTATTTTTAATCCGTTTTTCCACTCATTCCTTCAGCAGCAGTGTATTCCCAGAATAGAACGCTAAAACCCATTTTACCCAATGACTATCTAATTGATCAATTCACTTCTGAAACTTTATAAGATGGTTTGCCTTAGATTAGAAATTCTTCTTTATGTTTTAAACGTTATTGGATCTTGATTAATATAGTGTTGGGGCATCTGCTTCAGTATGAATAGCAATGGAGGGCTGAATCGCATATTTTTTTGGTCAAATAGGAGTTGCATCGAGTTTTTTGCCACAAAGCTGAACAAGTTCTCTCACTGTATCTTAACAAACTCACCGCATTAATAAACTATTGATGCCATGGGATCTCTCACATCCAATTCCAGCCCCCTCATACCATATAGGCAGCATGGTGGCACAGTGGTTAGCACTGCTGCCTCACAGCACCAGGAGCCTGGGTCCAATTCCACCCTCGGGCGACTGTCTGTGTGGAGTTTGCACATTCTCCCGGTGTCTGCATGGGTTTCCTCTGGGTGCTCCGGTTTCTTCCCACAGTCCAAAGACGTGCAGGTTAGGTGGACTGGCCATGCTAAATTGCCAATAGCATCCAGGAATGTGTAGGTTAGCTAGATTAGCCAGATTAGCCATGAGACACGCAGGGTTACAGGGGTACGGTAAGGAGGGGGTGAGTCTGGGTAGGATGATATTTGGAGAGTCGGTGTAGACTTATTAGGCTGAATGGCCTGTTTCCACACTGTAGGGATTCTCTGATTTATATGCTTTCCCAGAACTCACCACTCAGAGGATATCTCAGAATTGATTGGCATCCCTTGCGCCCACTGCGCACCAGAACAAGCACTGTCTGTCCACAGATGCCCTGAATAGTTTCTGACATTTGCCCCTGCCATTGCAGACAGGGCAAAATCAGTGTCCCATGGTCTGGGCAGGAACCTGGAGGTGTTGATGGTTGGGGTGGTGGATGCATGGGCCCTCCTCTACCACCAAATCCAGCAGAGGAGACCACGACATCAAACCATGCTAGCTTAGTGCAACTTTGCCACATATGTCTTTGAATCTCAGGCAGGCCCTGCACTGTGGGAGTAAGCTCAATGGCCTTCTCCACTCTGGCAGCACAGGGCCACCATTTCTCTCTGTTACCTTGCATTCATTCTCTCTGCTGCTGTGTCCACCTCCCACTAAGATCCATGCACAACTACTCTCACTTTGCCTGAACATCTTCCCTCATTCTCTCCCTCACCTACCCCAACATCCGATACCACTAACCCTGAATGCTCTCAGCACTGCCTAATCACTCGCACAGGACACCTCCCCCGATGCATCAAAAGTAATAACTGTGCTACCCACTTACCACCCAATAATACCTGCCTCTCTCATTCCAGGAGGAAAGCAGCCATCAATAGATTTAAGATTTAAAACAGGTGGCACATGTCTGACCTCCAGCTCTTCAGCCTTTCCGTGGAAAGCATCCCGAGTGGCTGACTGGCTGTATCCAAGCCGCTGGACTGGTAGCGAAGGCTTCCCTTGACTTACTGTGATCGCTCAGCAAAGGCTTGCCTTCTTGACTTGACTACGATTTGCTGACAACTATGACAAGATCCTTGCCTTTGTGTCCATATTAAATGGCCAGGCAAGGCTGAAGTAATACGTGCCAGGTATCTCTGGTTGACAGAGCAAAGTGCAAAAAGGAAATGCAAAGCAATGCAAAGCAGGGATGCGGTGAGCACTCGGATAGGCTGAGAGTGAGTGGGCAGTATGCCAACGAGCGAAGAGCTGGATCCTTAGTATTCGGTGTGCCTGCTTCAGTATTACAATGAGAGTTGCTGGTGCAGACCAAGGTACATTTTTGAAGTTCAGAGCAAATGCACATCGATCAGAGGTATGTCATGAGGGTTCTTACAGGCTGACACATATCAGTTGTCAACTTTCATCGGGTACATGTGGTCAGTGCCCATGGAGAATGCCCTGAGAAGTTTGTGCCTGGTGACCAACATGGAGGACATTCTGAGCAAGCAGTGAACTGAATCTGCCATGTGCCAGGTCTAGCTTCCATGTCAAATTTTCTCAACTTCTAGCTTTTTTGGCGAGTTTGGTATAATAGAAGTCTGATTATTAATTAGAAAAGTTGAGCTGTAACGTGCAATTATCCCCCTTAATTGGCAACTTGCTGCTACCTAGTGAGAAACTTCTCATGCTGCATGTGAAAAGCATAAAAGATGGGTGTGTTGTTGCCATTGTGGAGATAAGCCTCACCAGATTTCTCATCTGATTCTGCTACACATCTCCCTACAGCCCATATTGTTCAGACACCCCACCCCAAGAAGACTCCATCCAGAATGTCTACTCTCACATACTGGTCATTATATGATTTCTTTAACCTTACCATGCCATCCCATTGAGTAGGGAAAAGAGACCTCAAATAGATTATCATATTTTGTCAAAAGTCTTTTCATTATAGAAGCAAGGCCTAAAAAAAAGGTCAAATGGAAATAATTAGTTCATTACTTGAAAATGAAAGTAAATGGAAGTAGTAATAAAAAAAAGCTCCACCTTCAACATTTGAATATTAAAAAAAAGTAAAATCCTGCACAAATCATTTGCAGAACACCTGACCTCAAATCAAATAATTTCATTTGCAATCCCTAATTTTAACTGGTATCAATTATTTTAATTGAATCATTGAGTACAAAATATTAAATTATGCCCAGTTAAATGTGATGAGAATCACGGTATCTTCACAGACCAACTTGAAGGTGACCATGATCTCTTTGCACATGTGCCTATTTGTCATGTAATAGGTTAAGGGCTGGTTAACAGCATGTATAAAGAAGTGCGCTATCTACAACACAGGCATCACCATTGCATCCATATTAAAACTAGTTCTGTTATTTGGAGAGTCCAGGAATAGACAGAATTGTCTAAATATTAAAGCAAGAGTTCTCAACAGTCACGTTACAATTAACTAAAATGAATGACTTGTTTAGTTAAACTGTTTAGTAATAAATTAGTTTACTTTACCTGCCCCTTATGCCGGTCCATGAGATAACACTGTCCTCATTAGGAGGTGGGAGGAAACACAGGCAGAGTAATATTCAGGCCATCAAGTCTGTTCCAACATTTATTATGCTCACGGCTGATCAAACACCTAAATACCTTTCACCTACACTATCCCATCACCCTTTAAACCATTGGTAATCAGAAATCTATCAAGCTCTACTTTAATTACATCAAGTATTTACATTGCTCCCCATGGCGATGCAATACATTTAAACATGTTCTGAGTCAAGATGAACAAAGTACTTTGACTGCGAGCATCACTGGTAGGCAGTAATTTTATGAGGAACTGTTTCAACCCTCTCATTTGTTTTACGAGAAGTTCTTACTTTACAAAAGTGATGTTTTATGTAGACAAGAAATAAAAATAGTTTTCTTACTGCCTCTCTCTTTATCAGATAAGTCTTGTAAACGAAGCACGTGTCTTCTTGGAATAAGTAAAGTCTGAAAAGGCCACATAGCCCAGTATGGAACAACGACCAACCAGTCTTCGTTTTCAACCACGATACGTTCCTTCAAAACCGAAACAAAAGGGATTAAGGACATGTTTACTGCACTCAATCCACAGAATTACAGTTGGGTAGTCATAGGCCAATAATATCTTACTAACTTCACCAGGAACATTGAAGAATTATACCCATATGGGCATCTTGCAAGTATTCAAGTTGAAAGGAAATTTAGCTTCAATAGAAATGTCATCACTTGCATAATAGTTTGTTCTGACTGGGTATAAAACAGTGAGAAATAAACAGGTCAGGTTGTTGGATCTGCTTTTAGGTTTATGGCATCCTGTGCAACACATCCCAAGCAAAATCAAGTTTGGTCTAAGATTTAAACCAAAAGTACTGCGGATGCTGTAAATCAGGAACAAAAACAAAGTTGCTGGAAAAGCTCAGCAAGTCTGGCAGCATCTGTGAAGGAGAAAACAGAGTTAACGTTTTGGGTCTGGTGACCCTTCCTCAGACCCTTTCTCTGTTCTGAGGAAGGGTCACCAGACCCGAAACGGTAACTCTGTTTTCTCCATCACAGACCTGCTGAGCTTTTCCAGCAACTTTGTTTTTGGTCTAAGATTTCCTTGAAACAAGTCTTTAATCATTGACCATCAAATTAGGCCTAAGTGATCCCTGAAGAGAATGGGCTTTAGTAATGCATTCAGGAGCTTGCAAAATTGTATGGTAATCATATGATCTTTGCTCTTTTGTATAAATATTAAATATCCCTCTCATAATTTCCACTATTTTAACATCACATCTACCCCATTTAGTTTACTTTCTATTATTTACACTCGAGCCATATTCACAATTCCTGTCAGATTATGAAAGTCAAGTAAGGATCACTTCTGGTTTACTTTTAAAAATTGTTGCTATGCATGCAATGACAAAAAAAATCCACGTTTGCAAATTGTCAGCTGAATTTCACAAATTATTGCTCACCATACCTAGCCAGTGATGCCTACCTTCCGTCAAATAAATTTTAATCGATTTACTGCCAAGGTACACAGGAACAGAGGCAATTTGAAGAGAGCAGGGGTGGAAAAGATATTTAAAGAAGGGATTTCATAGCTTAGAGAGAATTTTAAACAATTTCTAGTTACTAATAGGTCACATTATAATTGATAAGTTTGTCAAGATCATAAATCAGAAGGAGCTTCAGTTTTCATTCAATAGTATTTGATTCTGCCTTCAATGTTTGTATTTGTTAATATTCATATTATATATAGGACAGTCAATTTTCTTTATAATCACAATTTATCTTTTTGTATTGTGTCATTTCTATTTCAAAGAGTTTCTAAAAGCAGATGCCATGTCACTTAACACTTCTCATCCATTCTTAATGTCCTTGAGGAAGTGGTGGTGAGCTGACTGCTTGAATCACAAAAGTTTCTGTGGCGTTAGTCCACCCATTGCACTGTTAGGAAAGGAGTTCCAGGATTCTGACTCACAAAAACACAGAGGTGGCATGCGGCGCAGCAAACAATTAGCAAAGCAAATAGTACATTAGTCATTATGACAAGGAGGTTAGAGTGCAAGACTGCAAGATTCTACATGTTAGGCTATTTATTAAGATAAGAGATCATGATTTTGGAGATTGTATATCAGTGTGGGTAACCAATTGGCTAAATAATAGAAGACAGAGAGTGAGGATAAGGGGGCATTTTCAGAATGGCAACCTATAACTAGTGGAATGTCACAGTGATCAGTGCTGGGGCCACAATTATTTATAATATATATTAACTACTTGGATGAGGGAAGTGAATGTATTATAGCCAAGTTTGCAGATGACATAAGAATAGGTGGGAAGGCAATTGGTGAGGATAACACAAAGTGTCTGCAGAGAGATACAGACAGCCGAAGTGAGTGGGCAAACTCAAATTTGGCAGATGACAAAAATGCTGGAAAATGAAAGGTTATGCATTTTGGCAGGAAGAAGTAGAGCTGAATAGTATTTAATTCGAGAATGACTGAGGGATATATGGGAGTCCTTGTGCACAAATCACTAAAAGCTAACATACATGATCAGCAGGTAACAGGGAAGATAAATAGTTGGTCTTTATTTCAAAGGGAATGGAATAGAAAAATAGGGAAGTTTTGTTAAAACTATACAATGTACGACTTAGATCACACCTAGAACATTGTGAAGTTTCAGGCCACTAAAAGTAGAAAAGAAAGAATAAAATGGCACAAAACTGGATGGGAGGGTGACTTGTGTGGAGGGTGCAGTGGCATTTCAATGTGATTTGGACAAACTGAGTGAGTGGGCAAATGCATGGCAGATGCAATATATGTGGGCAACTGTGAGATTATCCACTTTGGTAGCAGAAACAGGAAGGCAGATTATTATCTGAATGGCTATAGATTGACAGAGGGGAATGTGTAGCGAGGCCTGGGCGTCCTCATGTCCCAGTTCTTAAAGACAAGCATGCAGATATAGCGGCAATCAAGAAGGCAAATGGCATGTTGGCCTTCATAGCGAGAGGATTTGAGTGCAGGAGCAGGGATACCTTGCTGCAATTACACAGGGCCTTGGTGAGACCAAACCAGGAATATTGTGTGCAGTTTTGGCCTCCTTATCTGAGGAAGTATGTTCTTGCTATAGAATGAGTGCAGCGAAGGTTTGCTCGAATGATTCCTGGGATGACGGAACTGATGGTTGAGGAAAGGTTAAATCAGTTAGGATTATATTTGCTGGAGTTCAGGGAATGAGGGGGGATATCATAGAAACTTATAAAATTCTAACCGGACTAATTGGGTAGATGCAGGAAAGATGTTCCCAATGGCAAAGGAGGCCAGAACCAGGGTCACACAGTCTAAGGATATGGAGTAAACTATTTATGACTGAGATGAAGAGAATTTTTTTTTCCACCCAGAGAATGGTGAGTCTAAGGAATTCATTACCACATAAAGCAGACAAAGCCAAAACATTGTATGATTTCAAGAAGGTGTTGGATATAGCACTAAAGGGATCAAAGGATAAGGAGGAAAAGCAAAAACAGGCTTTTGAGTTGAATGATCAGTTATAATCATAATGAATGGTGGAGTAAGCTCAAAAGGGTTGAAATGGCCTCTTTCTGTTCCTATTTTCTATGCTTCTAAAACACAAAGAACTGGTCGGCTCATATGCTTCAAATTCAATGAATTCAAAGCAATTAAAGTACCGTTTTGTAAGTAGTCTTTGCATGAGAAATTGTGATTATAAATACTATAACGATTGAGCTATAAATCTGCAGCTAGACTCCGACTTCTTTTCCATCCAAATACTGCCCTTAAGTGACAAAATCAGAAACCTCCATTATAGATTCCACAGGTACAGTGACAGCAGCTAGCTGTACCTCAGCACTGGATCGCTCAACCCCTGCAATATTTAGGCTCAGGAGATTTTACAGTGCAGGCAAAGGAAATTCAGCCCATCATATCAACACTGGTTATTAAACATCTATCTATTCTAATCCCGTTTTCTGGCAGATAGCACATAACCTTGTATCTGAGGATATTAAACCTAAGAACAATGCCTGGTCTACCAGACAAAGTGATTCTCACGATCCTTTGTGCTTCTGAGACTGATTCAGGTACCTCAAAGCACTGATAAAGTACCAACAATGGCGTCTTTGCAAACTGCTCCATGTTGAGTTGCAAAAAAAAGGACAGCTGCCAACAGCAGTATCCTCTCCCAAGATAACTCAGCTCCACTGGTGGGACATGTTTTTAATATAACTGACACCAGAATCCTGAAACAAAGTTCTACTCACAGCTTGAAATCATGGCAGGAGACTCCTAGGTGTTAAGCAGAAAAGTTTTAGGAATGTCTCAAAGCATCCCTGAAAAGCTCAAATGTGACTAATGACTTATGTGCAATTCTGACTTGTGACCTTCGTTATTGGAAGGGTCCATTTCACCCTAATTCTATCGCACAAAACAAAGACTATGGTGTCAGAGCCACATCCGTGTCTCCATGTGTGGCTCAACAGCACAGTAAGCGAGGAAGAAGAGTGGAACATTAGTTAGAGGAACAGACGGCATTTCTGTGGTCATAGATGTGGTTCCAAGTCGGCTCCCTGGTACCAGGGACAAAGATGTCATACTGAGGCTGCAGGACATTCTTTTGGGGAGAATGATCAGCCAGACCTTGTGGTGCGTGTTAGTACCAAAATACAGGAAGGGGGCTGAGGTCCCTGTAAGCAGATTTTAGAGAGCTCAAAAAATGAGAAAGCAGGCCCTTAAAAGCATTAATATCAGTATTATTCTCATTTTCCTATAGTGGAGAGCAGATTTCTGTAGCATTGGGACCATTTCTGCTGTAAGTGGGACCTGTACAAGACGGACAGGTTGCATTTTAGAGGTCAGGGAATAACATCCTCACAGGACGATTTGTTGTTACCATTGGGAAGGGTTTTAACTAGCTTGGCAGGGAACGAACAGGGAATGGGAGGAAACTTGGAGTGGAGGAAGACAAACTGGTAAAAAGAAGTAGAAAAGTAATAAATGAAATTAGAAGACAAATGAAGTAAAGGAAGTTTCAAATAGATTTGAAATGCAAAATGTATTGGATTCTGGGTAATCCAAGATGGAGGATGGGAAAAAAATTGCGACTGTAAGAGCTGCTCCTTTTTTTGAGGTATTTTCACTGTTAGAGCTGATTTCCTTGAATTCTAGGAGCAGTAATTACTGTTTTATATACTGTTGCATTGTTCTGGAACTTTAGGGTAAAAAAAATCAAAACACCAGCACTTTCAACAAAGGAGAAAGACAGACAAAGGCAGTGACCACATGGGAAGTGAATCAAACAGAGAAATAAACCTACACTGCTGTCTGACCCAGCAGTGAATCTGCACAGCTGACTGTTCTGCTATTTGATTTCAAGTATCCCTGGACATTGGAGTTCATCTAAGAAAAAAATTAACAAACAACAAAATTTAAAACTCATCTTAGAGAAACCTGTGTGGGAAAGCTCACAGCAAGGGAGCAGCTAAGTGGATTTTAAGAAGTGTAACCTTTACTGTTTCTTTTTGTAAATCT